TCTGATATTTCTCCAATCCATTTCAGCATAATGTGGACACAGGATGATCTCCATAACTTTTTTACACAGCATGAAAATGCAACTACAGTACAGTGAGACCCCATATGATAGAGACACCCTGACATATATGAACAATTCAAGTTGAAGACACTCAGAACTAAAAAAAATTGTGCCCCAACATCCATCAGACAGTGGGACTCAGGACTCTTTTCCTAAATTCCACAAAGAATTGAAAACTTTATATTTTCTATATTTTTAATTTTTTGAAAAATTGAGCTATTCATACATTTACACATGCAAATAAATTCCAATGAAATTACCATGATTCATAATCAAAAACAGGATAATACTTTGCTTCTTTTCTCTCTTGAAGTTTTTCCATTGAGTGTGCTCACTATAGTAAGAGATGTTCTTATTCTTTGCTTCTTGGCCTCATTCTGTATTGCTGCTGTGCAATTATTTTCTGTACATTTATTTTCTGTATCTTGAAGTAGAGAAAACTAATTTAAAAAAAATGTTGAGGATAATTATTAAAGTCCAGCTTGATGTTGACTTCGGTTAATTGTGGTGGAACTTTAAAACACGTTTTGATTTTACTGATGCAGGCGATGACGCTGCCTGTGGGGCGTTTGTATGTTTTCCGAATCCTGGAGTGGTGCTAGGCTGTGTAAGTCCGGGCGTAACTCCGGCAGCCTGTCGAGTAGTCGAAGTTGTTTTTATCCCGCGCCGCTGACACGGTGCCTTGAAGCTTTTCTTAGAGAAAGAACCCAGCAATTGCTTTGTACAGGGTTTCTTTATTACAAAAACTTCTTCACACCAATGGAGAACCGTCTTATTGACGAGTTCCTGAAAGCCAAACTCTGCAAATTAATCGCAGACCAAGCAAGGGATTTTTCTGCCTAAACACACATGACAAGGAAAGATCACAATCAATACATGAATGTAAAGCACAATATTCAAATATAATGACAACAAAAAACATACACTCGCGAAGTCGGAAACCTCTGACGTTACGAGCGTGTAAATCTTTGTTCAAATAAAATACAGCCTTACCCCTCGGGGGTTCAGGCGGGAATGGCAAACATGGCCGTCAAAAAGGGCCCTTGGGCCAGGAGCGCGCCAAAAACGAGAGATGGGCGCAGATGTTCAGTTTAGGAAAACAACAACTGGTGCAGCTGCGCATTACTGCGCAGTTGCAATGGAAAATTTCCAAGATCTCAGCTGCAGGTGGCCAACGTCAACAAGACGCCGACATCTGCGAGCCAACGCGCGGCGCGGGAAAAAGAGGTGCAGGATCCCCTCTTCAAGAGGATCAGGTTACCAACAACCAGAGGGAGCCGGACAACAACCCCCCAGGCGCGTGCGCGCACCTGGGATCACGTGATCTCCGAGTGCTGAGGTCGTGGCCGCTTCAAGGGTCCCAAAGGGGCAAACCAAAAATACAAAAGAGGGGTTTTTCACAAGTTCTGGTAAAAACGCATAAATTGCATTTCTGTACACAGAATGACCATATTGAATTCAAACCGGGGGATTTTGTAAGAATCCGGGCAGTCAAACAATTTACATAGACTTCTTAGTCCAATCAAAATTACTGCAAAATACAACAGACAACCAAACGACGGAGCAATCATACGTTACCAATAATTTTCCACAAGCATGTACAAATTCTCTCAGGGTAAGGGGAGAAATCCTAAGGAGGATTTCCCACAGATAATTCATTTCGATGACGACTCTACCAATTGAAAATATTCCCATTGAAATCAATGGGAAAATGATGTCCAACATGCGGACATTATTTGGAGTTATGGGGAAAAGGTCCATATATGCACACATTTTATTCACATCTTCAGCAGGTCCCCTGTAAATTGAAGATTGATTTTTGAACATAAATTGAAAAAATTTCCACTGGGTATAGTTTCTGAATGAATATCACAGACAGGAGTTATTAAAACGACATTAAAAAGGTGAAATAAATTTACAGGTATCTTTCCTTTATTAGATCGCTAGGCGACATTCATGAGTGACAAATTCCCGGGTAATAAAAGAAATTATCATGAATTTAAAATCAATGCGAAGGAACAAACGACATACAATTTTTACATAAAAAACACGATTTTCAAAATGAATGTGTCACATTCATTCGCTAGCCCAATTTTTTTCATTTCCATTCTGAGGAACTTCACCGTTTCATAAAAATTGAGCAGAACTTTTACAATTTATGAAACTGTATTCTAATGTAACTTATAATTCCCGTGGTTTTTATGCGAATGCTTTGTCTTCCAATACGGTATAACTCGAGAGAACATCGCATTAAAACCCATTGATTACCCTCTTTCAAAACGTGACTGATACATTTCCAAAAAATGAACAAAGCCTATTTAATATCAAAACCCCTTCCAAAATAAATTTCAGTTGGACATTTACCATCTAGAATCCAATAAGCATTCTACAGATGTAAAGTACTGTACAGGACCACCAATTTATAATATACTTTACTATTTTTTGGTGAACAATATTGATTTCAAGTACAGATACAGTAAAGAAATGATACATTTTTTCACAGAGTACTTGTATGCCTTCGACAAAATCCCGCTCAGTGCGTCAACTGACGTTGCCAACCCGTACGACTTGGACTCCATCATGCACTATGGAGCTTTTGCGTTTGGCCGGTTGGACAACACAACCAATGATTACCTTCAAACAATCATTGTTAAAAGTGACCCAAGCCGACTGCTCGAAGAGCCCTATGACAAGACGAGCATTTCAGAAGGGAATGTGAGAGAAATCGCGTCCGTCTACCAGAAGGAATGCTCAGTTGCTCCGACTACCAGAGTCACTTATGTAACCACTGCATCGGTGACCAGGTCGGCGACAAGGACTCCATCGAAATTGATGCGACATCTGCCCAACATCTTCCAACTACTCCGCCGTCTTCTTGGATTTCGATCAGGAATTTGAGTGCTTTCAAATGAGTCAACATATGAGAGCCGACTAGTAATTTTCTGTTCTTGGTGGGTGATGGAAATATGCAGACGAGTTTGGAGCATAAAAATGATCTGCAAGAGAATCGCTCTACCCTTATTTAGTGCGATTCGTGTGTCATTTTACAGGCTCCACTAGTTTCCTCCGGTAGGATGGATTATCAGCAAAAGGCAAAAAGATGACGGATAAAATTAAATCAGGCAGTAAACAACTGCAAGGCCTTTCAATACACCCTGTCCGGTCAGCCGCCGGTTGGTCAATTCACGATCGCGCACCCGCTGGTTGTCAAGTGCCGGTCGGTCCAACTGCCAGCCGGGGCAGTTCTTGGCCCCGCCAATCCCCAGCCCACCAAACTGCAGTTTGTTCACTCAATTGTCGGGGCACCCAAACAATCGGGTGACAAGAACCATGCTGATTTTTTTTCAGAATTCAGTGAGCAGAATGGTATCCAACCACAGATTTTTTTTCAAAATTTCAGCAATGTTAGGTTAGGTCAGTTTATGTTATGTTAGTTTAGGTTAGGTTAGGTTAGGCTAGGATATGTTAGGTTAAGTTAGGTTGGGTTTGATGAGTTTTCTTTTTCTGAAAATTTTCATAAGATGAAATTTTGTAAACAAAAATAATCTGTGGTTGGATACCATTCTGCTCACTGAATTCTGAAAAAAAAGCAGCATGATTCTTGTCACCTGATTGTTTGGGTGCCCCGACAATCGGGTGACCAAACTGCAGTTTGGTGGGCTGGGGATTGGCGAGGCCAAGAACTGCCCTGGCTGGCAGTTGGACCAACCGGCGCTTGACGACCAGCGGGTGCGCGACCGTGAATTGACCAACTGGCGGATGACCGGGTACCTCAATACACAGCTCCTCAGAAAAGGCTTCTTCAAATAAGGAAAAATACTACGAAATTAATTCAAATCCATGCTTTAGGTTCGAGGGTTTAATGATCTGAGGTGAGAATAAAAGCTGCTGGAATATAGGAAAATAAAAAGAAAGTCTGTGACACATAAAAAAAAAGTTCCAACAGCATTTTTATAGATTCTATTGGGATTGCTTCCAATTCAAGGAATGCTAGCCCGATGACAAATGCACATAATACAGGACAATAATACGTGTCGAAAAGCTGGCTAAAATTCAAAATGTTATATTTTCGCAAGAAATGGTTAATTTTTGACGCAACTTTATGAGCACGCGATCAAGAAATCAAGTTGTTGACTAAAGGAGAATGCCCCATCTGCCACAAGAAGGTTCTCTGAAGCCAGAGAACATGATGACTATACTATCGACACTGAAGACAGATGTTAAAAAATGACCCTAAATCAACACCAAAAAAAATTTCCATTGAACATATCATGGAAACTTGGAAGATAAAAACCCCTTGAGACCTTTATGAAAATCATCAAAAATATCGTGGAATACGCCGAACAGAAACCTTCACTAGGTCTATCTTCAATGGAACCAGACGAAGAAATATTACCTAAAACAATTTGAAGAATCTCCTCAGTCCTCACACTTCTTCCAAATAATAAAAAAAAAAAACAGGGCAAGGAAAAGGCCTTTAGTCCTCATAGAAAATGTGAAGTAATCCTCGACTTGAACACGTTCCATGCCCATACCTGTGGAGATGGGTCACTCGCAGGAGTCCGATACGGTAGAACGGTCCTCAGCGCCACAACACGTGTTATACTTTGCGTACGGTAGCAACATGAACAGCACGCGGATCCGGGTGAACAATCCGTCCGCCATTTTTGTGGACGTGGCCATGCTGAGAAACCACGCCCTCGAGTTTGGGCATTACAGCAAGCGGTGGCAGGGTGCTGTGGCCAGTGTTGGGTGGAAGCCTGGACAAACTGTGTATGGTGTGGTGTGGCGTCTCCTGGCGGGAGACCTGGGAAGGCTGGATTTGCAAGAGGGTGTCGCTAAGGGTACCTACAGGAGGTTCTGGGTCCAGGTGTGTGTCACTCCTGCATTGTTGACTTGAAGGGAAATGTTCTTATACATCCATGCCATGCTTGTGCTTACCCTTTCTGATTACACTGTGAAAGCGTAACTTCTGGTCTTGAAAATATACTAGTGTAATTTTGCAAAAAGAGTACTGTGTGACTTTGAACATAAAACCAGCATTGAACCTTGACATTTAAAATCTGTTGAGAAGTTTAACATGCTGCCCAGATGTACCAGGGCACCACCAGCTTGGAACTGATAACTACTGCAAATGGTCTTTTTGTACATTACAGTACTATTGACAAATTTTCATGAGAATTTGTCCTTCCTAATTGACACTGTGAAGCATGCATGCTTGGTTCTGAATAAACAGTACTGTATTTACCTAATTACAGTGAAAAATCATTACAATGAACACCCAGGGACCTGGTAAAAAAGTTTAAAAACCATTTTAGTGAGATTCACTGTGTAGTAACTGAATTTTACTGTACTGCATGCATATTTTATTTGAAAAATTGATACAGGAAGTGAGGTGCATGCATGCCTTATGCAGGTATACATTCTTAAAAGAGAAAAAAATATCACAAAACCTTACTCCCGAAAGCCAGAAGTCAGTCTTCATGGGTGAATCAATGGATCACAATTTTGTTTGACACCAATCATGATTTTGTTCAAGTTCCTTTAACTGATCATCAAGTTATTTTGTTACAAATTAATTTTGCTTAATTAAGTTTGATCTCCAGCAAACAAAAACTGGGGTGTAGGTCTCATGCAGGGATACTTTTTTGGACAAAGTTTGTGAACAAAATTGAGGGTGCAAGTCCTATTTGAGGGCAAGTGGTCCCAGAGTGAATATGGTACAGTATTATATTCATGATATCTTTGCATGGGAGAAAGATTTGCCAAAAAGGATTTGTTTTGACCAATTGGGGATGGCAGAAAATCCTGGTGCACTAATTGAAGGATGCACTGTTTGCTGTTAATCTCTCTGCAAACATGCCATAGCTTCATTTACACTGGATATCTGCACCAGATCTCATTAACAACCTGGATGATGCCATATACAACGCACTGGCTATTGTTAACATGCTGTCCAAATATTCAAAAGTTTTCAGCAGTGTGAATGTTGGTAGTAACTTAACGATCAAGAGGGTCAGAATGACTCGCATGAAGATTAGTTTGTCAATTATGACATCTGTTGCGATATCTTGCACAGAAGTCCAGTCTGAATTACGTTTAAAATGTCAAAACATTCAAACAAGCAAATGAAATAAAAATTAAGAAGAAAAACACAGTGAATGGATACAAGTACGTACAGTACCAATTTAGTTTTTGAACTTCCACACGGCTGATGTGTATCAATGTTTTATTTCCTCAAGCAGGCAGGGATGTATTGAAGCCATTAACTCTAGAAATAAAATAAACTGATTCATTTCTATTATTTTGCCAAAGGTTTCCTCATTGAGCACTTGCTGTGATTACTCATGCTGGACGTATGAACTGCTCGCAAAATCTGCTGCTGATAGGCGGCCATCTGCAATTTATAAATCAATAATCTTGAGAGGAGCCCAGGAACACGGGTTGCCTGAGAAGTACATAAAGGATCTGGTCACCATTGAGGACAATGGATTTACTGGAGAAGTGGAACTAAGAGCTGGATAACAAGCTGATTTAACCCCTGAAATTCACACTTAAAGTCATTGTTTTTTTTAACGTAATTTATTCTGAAGAATGCCATCCACTGTTGACCAAATGGATCCAAATAAACATGTGAACAATAAACATGATGAAAAAAATCACACATTTGGTGAAAAATTCCTTCATGTCAAGGGCTGAGGGAACTGCCCAAAAGTAAAAGGGTCACTCATGATCAACCTAATATTCTGAAATAATTTTGGAAAACTTCAAATGTTTTTCCACACCAGTGCATTTTTTACATATACAGGGTGAGCCAAAAAAGTGAACCAATTTTTGACTTGAAACTGCTTGGTAGGACATTGATCTGTGACAATGAAAAATGCACCAAATGAAAGCTTGCTCAATTTTTCTCAAATGATTTGTAGTTTTATGGTTCCAAGTGCCATGGAATGATTACAAGAATCATTTGAATAAAAACTTGAAAAAGTTGTCAGGGAGATTTTTCCACATAAGCTGCTGTTCTGGGAAGCTGTTTGCATTAATAAAGGAAATACATGATGCCGTATTTTAATCAGAAAACTTAATGCTGCCTTGGAGAGCCTGAACATGTTCAGGTTCAGAAGGCTTCTGAACAATTGGAAACATGCCAAGAAGATCATGAGGATGTCCTTCAAGTTGTTGGTCTGAACCCTAGCTCTTGATACCTCAGGAGGCAAATGCACTCCTCCAGAGCTACAGCTAGCTACAGAACACTTCATTGAAATCCCTTCCTCATAAATGAGGCGTTGTACCAACAAGTTTGAAGAACTTGTCTGCAAGAAAGAAAAAAAATTGCTGCTGTGGACAAGTTCTCTGAGCTTGTCCACAAATTCAAAAGGTAACAGCAGGTAACAAGTTCTCTGAACTTGTCCACAAGTTCTCCAATTTTCTTGGACAAGTTTGGATGAGAACATGCCCAAAAGTTCTCCAAACTTGTCTGCCAGAGCACCCTTTCTAAGAACATACTCTTCAAAAATTGTCTCTGTTACTCATTTTGATGAGTTTTGAACATTTTTTGGAGAACTTCTTGCTCACTGGGCATTTGGGGATCAGGGTGTTTACATCAGTTTAAATATTTGTTTCTCAGTTGGCAATCTTTTGGGGAGAAAAAATACCAAATTTCACGAATGGGGCTTACAGCAGGTAATGCATAATTTTTTTGTTGCCTCACATTTGGATTGGCGTATTTCTTCATTCTGAACTTATTCATTTCGCAGAAAAAAATCATAGTTACTCATTGAATTGGGTTACAGAAGATGTAGGAAAAAAGCGCACGTTTTGAAAACCTCACGATTCCGAGAATATGTGTCACGATTTTTTTGCGTCGAAAATACTTTCGAAAAGCAAGATGAACAACAGTTCACAAGAACGAGACTGAAATGGATTTCGAATGTCGCAGTTGAAAATTGTAACGTTCGTGGAGCACAACACCACTGTTATAGGAGTCGGTATATTTACCAACTCACAATTTCGTTCTGTCTCTTGAAGAAATCAGCCAGTCATTCACCTAAAGTGATCCGAAGATGCAGAATAAACTTTTGACAGTGCTTCTCTTTAATTTGATGTTGATACGAGCTGATGACAGACGTGAAGTGCTGCAGAACAAGGACATGTTCGGTGGTGACATGGCTGGGGGAATGAATGTCCCGACAATCAACTCCACCGTGAGCCAAAAGTTGTTCAATTACAGAAAAAAAGGGGTTCTGGTAAATTTTGATTTCTAGAGGCTTAAACAAATTGTTTCCTTCTCTGGTTTGATGAAAGAGAATCCAGTCTCATTTTCTCTACTATTTTTAGAAGTCGTACGGATAGTAACGTATGCACTGGAGTTTGACGCCACCTTTTTTCTCAAAGTTGAGAGAAAAAAACGCTGCAGTGCGCATAATAGAGGGGTATGAAAGTTAACGAGAATAAATCTGCATTAAATTATATTACAAGGATAAATTTTGAACCAATGTTAATGTAAACGTCTGAACAGAATTTTTAAAAAGGATACAGTAATTAAAAGTGTTGAATTCAGGATCATTTCATGCAATCAAACTTGAATTTTGGGGGGTTTTACTTTTCAAAATAGTTTAATTGAAGAGTCACTAAAGATGGTATTGTCATCTCACTTGTGAATACCATTTGAAAACACATTTTGACTGAAAAACCCTTGTGACCCTTTACTCCTGGGCATGTAAATACAGTAAATGCAGTGTGACCCCCCAAATGCAGACACCTTGACATGCTGACAACTCAACACAGGGACATTTATTTTCCATAGAACAAGGCATAAAAAAGCACATCATTTGGGAACTGACTTGACATGCAAACATTGCATGATGAAATTAACAAAAAGTTCCAGAACAAGTTTCTTTCATCAGACTGAATTGCAAAGAAACTGATATTTTCAACCCTAAGATCTATGTAAGAAAAATTCTTTGGCATTTCTACCATCATTTCCCCATCCATTCAGCTAATTTAAAAAATTACCTCCAGCATACAGCAACTTCCATCCCTGTTTGCAATTTTACACAAGCCAAAATTTTAATGTGTTGCACCAAGGTACAGTATTGAATGCTCCAAATGTTCTTATCAAGTTGAAAGATATTGACTGAATCAATTCAATTGGCAGACAATTTTTTTCATGGAATTCAGGTGAATATTTTTTTCATAAAACCCAAATTGAAAATTATATAATATAAATCCAAGAAAAAATGAGACTTGATGTAGGGGAATTTCAAATTAGGGACACTCTTGGTTCACTAATCATGTCTGCATCTGTAATTGGTGTAACACTGTACTATACAGTATTATTTTCCTAGAGTAATGACCAGCAGGAGTGTAAAATTGTTATCGTGGTTTTCAAGGCCCAAAATCTGCGTTGATGGTATCGGAACATAATTACAGCATTATTAGGGCTAAAGTATTTTCGAAATTTCGTGAACAAAGAATCGGTATTTCTAATTGAAAATTTTCTCTGATTTCTGGAGAAAACATGTCACAGAACTCAGAGTAGAAGACGACTTATGGTTTATTTTCTAACTCTCCCTGTATATAGCGCCGATTATCATAGTAGATCATAGATGTCGCACTCAGTCATTTCATCTAAACTAGAATAAATAGAAAACAGCATTTAAAAATGTTGAGAGGGAATTTAAACTGATTCAGTGTTGGTGACAATAGGGAAATGAACCTGTGATGGGCTTTGTTCCAAACTCTAAATGGGTTCGATGGACGAAAGGGGTCCTGTACTACGAATATGCCCAGAATGTCAGCGGTGAGGATCAATTGAAAAATATCTAACTCATGAAATTTGAAAACTCAATTCTTGCTTTGGGATTCCGGAAATCAGCAAGCAAGGATGCTTTGATGTCGTCTGCCATACAAGAGATTCATGCCAGGACTTGCCTCAGAATTTATCCTAGGAATGGAAACACAAGCATTACCAGCTTTGTCATCGTCACCACCGAGAACACCGGGTATTTTATGCAATAACAAATTATACTCAATAATTGAATTTGAAATCTGGGGAAAAGGGTAATGAATTAATTTCGACGCCCAGCAATCACTCGAAGCTCTGAAAGATATTTAGTGAATGACTAAATATACAAGTGCACATCAGCAGGCTGCTTTTTATTATTTTACAGAAAGTGCTATTTTGAAGCTATTCAGTACTGGTTCACGTGTACCGAGATTTTTTCACGGCAGGTACTTGAAAATTTTTTGTCAAAGCCTTCAAGGGAAGGCATGAAGAACTGCGAATGAATAAAAATCTATTTACTAAATGTATATTCCATTCATAAGCTTACAAATGCTGTTCAATTGTCGGATTAAACTTTGTAGAGCTTGTTCAACGAACTATTGCTCATGAAAACAAACTGCTCACACAAGTCAAAGAGTCTATGAAGATGAACAGTGAATGGAATTTTTTGTGAAGCCTCGACCTTGAAAAATCGAAAAAAAGTTTATGAATTTGACCGGGGGATAAATTTGATGATCGTACCAATTAATGATTTCTTACAAAATTATCCTTTGCCTTGGATAAGAAAGAACAAGCTCACAATTAAACGAACCATTTAGCTCACACTGCACTTATTTTATCCTAGCTTTCTCCAAATTAATGGATCGACTATTTTAAAGGCTTCTTGAGCTAACCAAAAAGAATGCATAATTGAGTGTGGTTTTTAGTTTAACAAGGATTTTAAATGCCCACCTGTACGTGTGGTCATTTGTATTGGTCGATTATCACTAAGAAAAACGTAGAAAGCTCCTTCCATGTCAAGCAAGGAAATGGTCAAATCTCCAGTCAAGTGAAATGATTATTTTGATGAAATACTGTAGTGAGCTTTTTGAGTGATGGTCACGGATCAGAATTTCATGGACCAATCCTCTGGCAGGTGTTGGTCCTCTGTGGGCATGAATCGTCTTGGGAGCCAGACGTTGAACCTTCAGTCACGAAGTTGTTGGTACAAAGGAACCATCATTCACGAGTTCCTGCATGCCTTTGGGTTCTTGCATGAGCACCAGCGATACGACAGAGACCTCTTCATCACTATCAACCAAAATAACGTCAATCCCGGTGAGTCATTTCTCATTATATTGCCACAATGAAATTTATTTTTTCTGTCAGCTGAGTACCTTCAGAAACCAGAACACTTTGAATAGCGACACATCCGGGTTTCCTGCTTGTAAGGAGTTCTGAAAAAAAAATTAGTAAACAGTTTCTGAGAGAATTTCATGAGGAAAGGAATAGAGCCACTACTATACCAACATTCGACCTGACTGAGGCTGAGAAACTCGTCCTCGGGTGAATTTCAACATATTTCTCATGAGTACGAAGGTTTTGAAAACACAAATCGATTTTTCACAGTTTTAATGCCTGAAAGTAAGTAAAGCTTTTGCTTTCCATAAACATCATTCAGAAAACGAAGAGTGTATCCTCCATCAAACAGTTTAAATCTTTATCGAATATTTTCAAAAATTTTAACTTTAGCTTGGTATTTTTGGGGGAAAAACTTTCTGGCAAGAGGAATAATTCAAGTTTTGCTAATTTAAAACTTACTCTTATCCTTGGAAGACCTTAACGGAGTACAAAATTCAATAAAAATGTGCCAGCATCCATGAAATATAACTTTCCTGGTTTACAAAAGAAAATCATGACAAACGCAGTCCATTAAACATCAAGTGACTCTCACCTGGGGCATGTGTGTGACTCGCATGTTTATTAGAGAAATATTTACTGCTATGACCCCAACCCACTGCTGATTCTCCAATCCAGATGAGAACATTCACGTTTTGGAAAAAATATATGCAATGTAAAATAAAGAATTTGAAAATTTCAAAAACACGATAAAGCAAGATTGAAGACCGGAACAATGAAAAATTTTCTTCATTGAACTAAGGAGAACTAATTTTGAATATTTTATGCTCATGTGTATTGCTTGATCTATTGGAAAATTTCTGCAATGCGTGTGGCGCGTCCATTTCTTATAAGCGTAATGACACTATTAGTGAAAAAGATGGGCTTTTGACCGTACTTACCCTCACTCTACTATACACGTTTTTAAATTTTTTGTTGTTGCGTACAGTACTTGAATTTGAAGTTCTTATTGCCTTCTAATCGGACGTGGAAACAGCAGCTGACTTCTTGTAGCTCTCTCTTAAATTTTACACAATTTATAGTGAGTTGATCTAATGTTTATGTGTGTTTGTTCGATTTCAAAAATTAAACGAACTTTCCGAAGGTCAATGCTCCTTTTCTTCTGACGAGTTTATCTCCTTATCGCTTTTTCACTATGCTGATGAAATCGTGTATATTCGCATGAAAACACCTCATCGGAACGATAGATCGCAAATAGAAAAAAAAGCAGCATCCAAAATACTGTACAAGTACGAGTATACAGTATCACTGCTTTATTATGTACTGTATATTTTGTTTGAGGACCTTTGAAGATGACTTTGCTTGATGCTGAAACAGTCTACAGTAGTAGTTTTCAGACACGTTACTGGCCAAGTTCCAAGTCTACTTTTCAGGTCATTGTAATAAAGGCTTTTTAAAACAAATGTCGGGGCATCATCAGTGCGTTAAATTCAATTCGGTATTTATCAAAAACTTACTATCGTTTTAAATTTGATATTACAATACATTACTATAGCGTTGAATTTGCTTTCTTTTCAGATTATTCGAGCTCCTTCACAGTGGACGCCCGGGCTTCGTCCACCGACGTGGGAATTCCCTATGATGTGGAATCCATCATGCACTACGGGGCTTTCGCTTTCGGCCTTCTTAACAAAACCTCATACGAATACCTGCAAACAATCGTTGTGAAAAGTGACCCAACACGGCTGCTCCTCGAGCCATACGACAAAATGAACATGTCCGAAGGAAACGTGCAAGAAATTGCCTTGTTTTACAAGGGAGAATGCACCTTGACCACCAGCAGCAGCAGTAGCACAACCACAACAACAACAACAACAAGGACGACGAAGACGACGCCTACAAAAGCAACAACAATGACAACTACTACTGGTGCCAAGACAACTACCAAACCAGTTACTACTGTTCTTCCAACCATCACTACCAGCAGGACTAAATTTCCACGCACTGCGTCAAATTTACGCTGGGTTCTTCAACAACTTGCTGGACTTTGGTCAAGAACTTGATCCAAAATGTGTGGAATGCAATTCCATGATTAAAATTCCCCGAAAAAAATCTCGAGAAAAAGGGCGAGAACTACAGCGATACAGTTTGACCATGTATGAGAGCTGCTTCGTTTTCTAATTATTTTTTTCTCAAATAAACAAAATTTAATATTGAAGCGAAATTGGTCTGAGAGTGAATCCCGGTACAATATGTGGAAGAAGACGTGGATTTGATCACTATAGTCCATGGATACTCAATGTCAAACCTGATTTTTAAAAGCTGCGAGAAATTTCATTTTCAGAAGGAATGAAATATTCCTTCACAATGAAGGAGGGACGCAGAAGTAAACTATGAAAAGCGAAATTTGAGATGATGTTGACCACTGACTTCTAAATTATGCATGTGCAGAAGGTTGCAGGAATTCAGACTACTTTCTCATCTGGATGTTGGTCAGAACAGATGAAAAGTAATTGCTTTTTTTTACGATTGATATGAATTGGGTAATAATAGATACAGGTGCTTGTTTCACTCGAGAATTTTTGGTGTGCAAAAAATCCAAGAGGTTATTTTCAGTGCTACATTTTTTGTTCATAGCCTCAGGAAAAAAATGAACTCCTTCTTCCTGCATGAACATGTACTGAATAAGACTGAAAATTAACAAAAAAGATTAAATTCCTGCAGAAATTCACTTTTTGTACACGCTTTTTTTGGAATGCTCAGTTATTGTTCGTCGAACTATACATAGTTCTCGCATTTCAAATTGATTATTCATGATTCAGGATCAAGTCTTCTTCCAGTCTTTTTTCACTTGGACTGCAACTCCTGTGACGAGGAAAAACATATGACTTTTCTTGTTCGTGTAGTTTTGAGGCTGCTGTATGTAAAATACTGTATGATCATTTTAGTCCCATTCATAAAAACAATTATTGAATTGCTTGGCTGACAAAGCTTTTTTGCCAAATAATGAACCTACTTTAGAATTTATTTTGCTTTGTAATATTTTTGCAATAAGCCAAAATATTGTTAAATTCGTTATGTTTTCACTTGGTGAGCTTTCTATTTGCCAGTCTGAGTTAACGTATACTGTAATTTAAGAAAAAACATTGTCAGCCAGGCCATCAATAGTAATTTATGTTTGAATGAGACTATATAGAATGATTGTATTTTAAAAGATCGAGGCACGAAATAATCCAGTGGGAAAAACACATGGAATCTTCCGGCTGATGAATTTCAAAGAACTTTTCAAATGTAAGTTACGAAGAGACAGGTGAAAAATCATAAAGTGATTTACACACTTTAAGTTATGTTTCAGTCCCTTTGGGATTGAGTAAATTTACACCTGTAACATAAACAAAAAGAAGAACCATACAATTTATGTCTACGGCTGGGAAGCTTAGCAAAACACTTCTCCAATGATCAATAAGCCAATCTTTCTTTCACTGCTTAATTTTTTTCTGACTTGATTCAATCTTCAGAATCGGACGCCGTCATTAACCTAAAGATTCATTTCCAAATTTCAAGATTCCCTTTGTCAACTCTTTACCTCGTCGTTGGAGGTGAATGGTTTCACTTAAAAACGCCGGATCTCGAAAAAAATCCAACCTTTGATAGCCATCTAATTTAAGTTCAGTCACAATGTTCCATTAAAAAAGAGAGAAGGAATTTTTACTTCGAAATTATTTCTGTAAGGAAAATGCAACGATTCTACAACGAAAGAGGCGTGATAATGCATAAGCTAGCTTAGCACAGCGCATCTTGAAACATATCGCATGTGCTTGTCGGTATAGTTACACCTATAATAACTGATGATTTACTACTGTGACAATGACCTGATGAAGTCAGTTCCGGGAATTCATCGAAGTTCAAGATATGTTCTCCGGGGGAAACAAAAAGTGATCTGGAACTATTTTCCTATTGCGCTAACATGTTCACCAACGCTTCCCATGAAATGAAGAAATCGGCGCAATTCTTAAAT